CACCAATGGTAAGGAGCGGGGAGGCTGGCAGCTCCCTGACCTCTCGGCGTCCCTGGGCTAAAACTTGGAAGAACCCAGTTTCCCGTGCCTTCTCTCTGAGATGGCAGCCGTAGCTCTCGTGCTCAGGCACTTCACGGCTGATGGCTGATTGAAGAAGGAACCAAAAGCCGAGGGTTCTCACTACTTTTCACAGCCTGGCTTCAATTCAGGTGGAGACAGGTGTCATCCCCAGTCTGGGGTCAGGACAGTGATAAGGCCAGCAACTTTCATTGCTCCCTGCCCCCCACCACCGCTGCCACCCCCTCCATTCATACACTGGAAACCCCAAAGGGGTGTGGGTGACCCCTTCCTCCAGCTCTTCTCAGTTCAGTGAACTTACAGTACCATTTTATATCAATGTAAACATCAAAGTTATAAAGATGTAACAGGCAGACAGATGACAGGCTGGCCGAGGAGAGCCAGCATCCACGTGGAAAGGAGGGTGCCGACAGTGGTGCTGGCACTGAGAAAGCCGGACAGGGGTCAGTGCAGCCGGGGTACGCAGCCCTGCAAGCAGGGGCGGAGATGCCTGCAGCCAGAGGAGAGGGCGCTGCGGCCTGCCGGCTGAGCAGGCCATCCCTTCTAAAGTAAAGGAGGTTTGCATTCGACCACGCCAGGGGCAGGAGAGGGGAAAGGCACACAGGAGCCAGATGGGGCTTAAGACCCCGCTGTGCGGACAAGGCTGGGGCAGGCGCACTCTCCTCTCCCCTGAGGAGCCAGGGGAGACACCAGCTCATGCCTGTGTCAAAGCAAGAAATGAAGGCAGAGGGCCATGAAGGCCCTAGGGGGATGGCGGGGCCTGAACAGGACAGGTCGGCAGAAACAGGCAGCAGGGAGGGAGACTCCTTTGCGCCGGGAGCAGAGACCACCTCAGCAGGGTACAGAGGCCTGGACCCCAAGCACAGCGGGGACGCCTGAGCCAAAGAGGAACAGCTCTGGGGCCCGCGGAGGTTGCTGGCCTTGGGTGCCAGGAGGCTGGGTGGAAGCATCGTGAGAAGGCTCGGGCAGACCCCACCAGGCCCCGCCAGATGCCGAGGGCATGCAGCCCTGGGCTCCAGCAGGTGAAGGGGCAGGCGAAGGTGGGGCGGAGCCCCGGGGGGTGGGAAACCGTTAAGAACCAGGAGCCAACTTCTGCGGATGCGTGAAGACTTTCTAGCGCTGCTCCTCCCTTTGCGCTCTGCGCATCCGCCTCCCTGGTTTAGAGGAGAAACAGCCCCGCAAACTCAAGCTGCTGCCGGCGCATTCAGACCTGGGTTCCCGATGCAGAGCAAGGCCGGGAGAAGAACGCAGCAGCCCAGAGGTGCCAGGGAGGCTGCACAGAGTGCGAGTGTCCTGAGGGATCCACCAGGTCAGCGCAGTGGCACCCACAGAGGCTCTGGGGCGCTCATCTCACCCAGATGTGGCTCCTCTCCACAGCCGAGCCCACAGCCAGGCCCAGGGGTCCACTGGCCTCCCTCTTGCCCCTCTCGGAAGACTGGCAAACCCAAGCCTGGATGCCCCCCAGTGCTGAGTGCATCGTCCCTGTCATCCATGCGCGGCTCAGCTGAGGCAAGCCCTTTCTCTACAGGCAGAAGAAAGGAGCAGGTCCTGCAGCCAGGGGACCCCCAGGCTGGGGAAGCTGAGGAACAGAAAAAACAAGCCCTCTGGGCAAAGATGAGGAGCTCCGGCTTCTAGAGGGCAGTCTTTCTGAAGCAAGGCCTCTAGGTCCTTTCTGAAGCACTCTAGGTTTGGGGACCCAGGCTCCCACCTCCCTCCTTCAACAGCCCACCCGAGGGTCTGGACACAGGGTGAGGGGTGAGAGGAGGGCTTCACCTGGTGCTGGGGACGTGCCAAGTCCTGATCTGTGCACTCTGGCAAGCCGAGGAGCAGACGACGGGGACAGGCCCGTGCAGACACTGCCAGCTGGGTGAGGCTGTCCCCCGCCCTTCAGCAGCTTTTCACGAGTCCACTCTCACCGCCACAGCTCTGCACAAAGGGCTCCTTCCCCACAAAGCTGACCATCAGGAAGAACACCTGTTCATCAGGCCCCACACGGGGGTGGCCCACCCAGCCTGCAACATCTGCTGCTGTTTATCGTTTGTGGTTTCCTTCCCATTCCCATTCACTCTGGACCCCAGCACTCAGCACACAGTAGATGCACAATAAACACGGGTGGCTCACTGACCAGGCAATCTGCCTTATCCCATTTAATTCTTAGCACAGCAGCACAGGGGCAGAGAGTGAAGTAACTGACCCAAGGTTCTCGAGATAAGTGAGCCCTGTGTGTGTCTGGAGTTTTCTAAAAAAATACATTGACCTGGCTGCCAAGGGGCTGCAGCGGTTCCTCTGAATCGCCTGGATGTCTGCAGGGTCACCTGCACAGGTAAGGCCTAGCCAGGAGATGCCAGCACTTGCCGCCCGGGGCGTCCCTCAGACAACTTCAGATCATCAACCAGGAGCTTTGCCAGAGCAGAGAACTTGGCAGAATCCCGTTTTGAATGTTCCCTCCTTCCTCCCCATCCCTACAGCCTCAGGGGGAAAGTGAGATGGCCAGGGGGTTGGGTAACCAGAGGGACAAAGAGCAGAGATAATGAAGGAGCCAACGTACCTGTCACCAGGACTCATGGCCAGATGATGCCGAAGAAAACAGTGACAGAAGCAACACATCCGCATGTCCCGCACCCAGTGGCCCTCAGGGCCCCTCCTAGGTAGCAATACGGGTTTGTGTCCAAGACATTTGATGGAGAGGAGATGGGGCGGATGGCAGGGAGACAGGTTCACGCTAGAAATTGCAGGATTTACCCAGTGCCTGGTACTTTAAGAGAAGGAATGGCGGCTGATGGCAGCGGCGCTGAAAGTGCTCTCACCAGCGACAGCGCTGCTGGGTGTGCAGCCTGGGAGGTGAGCAGAAGTTATCATGCCCCAGCACGTGCTTGGGCAAACACCTCGGCTTCAACTGGGGCTCACAGTCCAGCTAGGAGCTGCCAAGGGGGTTCCCAGCAAGGGGTGGGGGGCGGGGGCAGCTCAGGAGCACGCGACAGACCTCATAGAGATGGGCGCCTTGGAGACCTGCCTGGCGCCTCCCTGCTTGCACCGGGAAAGGACGTTTGTGGAAGGAACTGAGGGGAGAATCATGCACATTGTGTTCCTCTGTGTTCCAGGCAGTGTTTACATTTGCTAGTTCCCTTCTCATTCCAGTCTAGAAAGCAGATTTTATTATCCCTTCTTTGCAGACGAGGATGCCAGCTCCGGGAGCCAAGGGGCTTGCTTGTGGTTACAGGAAGTGGTGGAGCTGGCAGTCAACCCCAGGCACAGGTGCCACACGCCATGTCTTCCCAGGGTCCACCTGCAGGCTGCATTCCTGGAGTTCACCCCAACCTCAGCGTGTCCACTTCGTAAAGCTACCCTGCCCACAATAACAGCCCAGCCTGCCACGCCCAGCGTCCTCCTCCCGTCCCTCCTGACGCTCTCCTCCACTTTTCACCCGCTTTCCTTTCGAGAGTGTCGCTGCTGGGACACCTTTGGGATGTTCTTAGGAAGGACCAGCTGCTGTTGGGCTAGTGACAACTCACTTAAAGACGAGTTTTTTTAAGGCAGGTCTTTGATACATTCTCATCTGTTGGGCAGAAATGTGTGTGTGCACGTGCATATGTAGTGTGCATGTCTGTGTGCTCATGTGCACATGTGTGTATGCATTTGTGTGTGCGCCTGTGTGTGTGAGTGGGTGTGTGAACACTGGAGCGTGTGTGCGTGCGCGTGTGTGTGTGTGTACATGCTGGAGCTGTGACATAGTCAACGGAGGGTCACTCCTTCCTTCGGGGAGAAGGGAGGCTGTGACAGTCCCATGCAATTGCAGACGCCTTGTCCTGGAGTCGGGGACCTAGGTGTAGTCGTGCGCCCACCACTGCCCCGCTGCCCAGCACTGATGAAATCAGGGGGTGACCACCTGTCCTTGAAGAGCCTTCCTCCTCCCGGTTATCTGAATCTCTCAAAGCAGTGGGGGAGGGCTGTTCTTTCCATTTCCCGGGATGGAGCTGGGCACAGGGTAAGGGTGGCTTGCGGGCTTGAATCTACTGATTAAGCTGGCCAAGTGCACACATCTGGGAACAGGAGAGACTCAAGGCTGGCCGGCACCTGCTGTGTGCCTGGCTGGGGTGCCTCTTCCTGGCCTCCTTCAGTGGGGTACTCCGTGGGCAGAAAGGTGGCTGCACGGCTTCCTGAACCGTCCAGCTGAGGTTTGAGGGATTTCCTAACAATGGCTTTTCCCTAGGGACTTTAGGGGGAGCCAATGAGAGCCCCTTCCAAGCCGGCGCGCTCATTGTCCCTCTCTGCCAGTCAGAGGGGGGCCACAAACAAAGGGGGTCTGTTCTGAAGCCCTCTCCCGTGTAACTCAAGCCCGTTAGGAACCCCGGACGTTCGCGGGACTTCCTATCTCCGCGCGGGAGGACACAGCCCGACCCGCCGCCCCCCAGGCTGTCCGCGGGCCAGGAGGTGCAGCGGCCCGGAATCCCCCTTCTGGAGTAGGAGCTACCCACCTGCGGAGGAGCAGCCCCCTCTTTGCCGGCGCCCCCCGCACCCGCCTCCGCGCCACAGGAAGCGGCGGCTCTCCCCCTCCGCGGACCGCGACCCAGGAGCTGCCCGGCGGGCCGAGCCACCGGAAATTAAAGGCTTCAGGTGCCAGCCTTTGAACGTAAAAACTCAGCCTAATCAGATTTTTAAAAGAAAAGCTCTGCCGGTGAAATAGAAAAACTAGTCCGTCCCCCCACCCCCCACCCCCCACCCCCACCCCTCACCCCCGGCGAGTCTCCTCTTTTCACGCGGAGCCGGCGCGTGGGGACCCCAACGGCGAGTCGCCCCTTTCCACGGGGAGCCGGCGCTGGCGGGGCGCACGGAGGCCGCAGCCGAGACCCGCAGACGCACCGACAGTCCCGCCCGCCGCGCCTGGCCCCGGCGCCGCCACCCGGAGGTGGGGAGGGGGCTACCTTCTGGATGCGTCCATCGATGTCCAGGTAGATGGCCTTGGGCCGGTAGCTGGAGGAGCCGGATCCCATCCTGAGCCCGGCGACTGCGCTTGGACTTTTTACTGTACTTTCCCGACGCCAGGCGCCGCGGGAGACGGGGGAGGGGAGCCGGGGGAGGGGAGCCGGGGAGGGGGTGGGCGGGGGGCGGCCCGCGGCGCTCAGCCAACCAGAGCCGCGCCGCCGCCGGGCCCGGGCCGCCCGGAGCCGCCGCCGCGCGCCGCAGGGTCTCTTCCTCCGCTCGGCTCGCGCTCCGGCTCCGGCTCCGGCTCCCGCTCGGGCTCGGGCTCCAGCTCGCGCGCTCCTCCTCCCGGCCGCCCGCCCCTCCCCCTCCCCTTCCCCCTCCCTCCCTTCCTCCGCTCCCTCCCCGTCTCCTCTCACTCCCTTCACCTCCCTTCCCCCTCTTTCCTCTTCCCGTGACTCCAGCCCCCGATCGGCCGCCTATCTCCTGATGCGCCCTGGACGGCTGTGCAGACCCCTGGAGACCCCTTCGGCCCGGAGCCGCCGCCTCCCCACGCGGCCGGTGCCTCCTGAGCCAGCGCTGGGCTGAGCTGAGTGTGGACCCCCCAGCCCCGCCGGGAAGACTCCCCTCGATCCTCTCGCCCTGCTGCGACCGCCACCCTCCTTTCATTTGAATAGAAAATGGGAAAAGTTCCTTCTGCTTCACCCACAGCCTTCCCCTAACTAGGGGGCGTCAGCCTTCTCCAGCTGCGCCCGGAGCTGAAATGGCGATTTTATTTCTGTCCTGGATGGGGCCGGACCGAGGATTACCCAGCCACAAGCTCGCTGCTGGATTCAGCATGTTCTTCCCCTCCCCCCTTTTGCGAATTGCCACAGGGAGTGTGGGAAAGGCAGGAGGGGAGGGGACCGCGGGCGTCCTCTGGATCCGCGGAGCACAGAAGGGGCTGCCTGCGCAGCCCCGCGTTCTCCTGGGCTCCTCCAGTGGGAATGGGGTTGGGGGCTGGGGAGGAGAATAGACGCCGTGGTCCTGGCCTTGGTCGACTTTGGAAGCAAGTGTCAAAGCCAGCGGGAGCATGTGCTATTGTTTCTTGGAAGTGAGTTCCAAGCCACTGCTTTCCATCTGTTGAGCGTCTGGGTGCTGCTTGTTGAGAGAGTCTGGCGCACACAGGCTCCTCCCTCCCCCCTCCCCCGCCAGCGGGCGGCCAGTGCCAGGGCCAGTGGTCATTTCCTTTCCCTCCCTGGGCTAGCCTGGTCTCCACCTGGTGGACTGTGGCTGGCTTTACAGACACCCCCGGGGCCATCTGGAGCCCTGCTGGCGGCTGGGGCCCTGGGGAAGGCGAGAGCTCCCTGCTTGTCTGTGGGGGTGACATCGTCCATAAGGTAAGCGGTGGTCTTCAGCCTTCGAACCGTCCATCCCGTGTCGCTTTATGTCCCCCACCTGCTCTCATGGGGGGGTCACTCTCAAAGAACAACGGGTTGGAACTCAGCAGCCTGGCACCCTGGCACCCCCTGCCCACAGCTCCAGTGGAGTCCATATGAGAGCTTGGGCACAATATGTTTTGCCTTTCAAAAGACGGGGTGAGAAGGGGACAGCCCAGAGGCCTTTGGGGTGGGCCCAGCTGGGTGATTCCAGTGGGCTGCATGACTCGCTATGGGAAGACGGTGTCCCCAACTGGTTCAAGTGAGCAGTATTGTTAATACTTCAATTTGTTGTCAAATGTTTCGACGCTGTTTGGGCTAATCCAGAGACCGTGCTGTTGGGGCCTCGTGTGCCACCTGGCATGGAGTTCTTACCAGCAGATGGCTCGTTGGCTTTGTACTTATTCTCCATCCCTTATTGTCATCGGCCTCGTCTTCTGTAACCACTTCCTCCAAGAGCCCCAGAAGGAAGAGTGCCCACCCATGGGGTGTAGTTCTGCAGTCCAGTTTCCCAGGAGGGTGGAGGGCGTGCTCTGGGACTCTGCATGCAGCACCAGTGCAGGCTGGCCCCTCACGCTGCCTGGCTGATTCTGCGTTTAGAAGAATAATCGCTCCTATAATTATGTTGTACTCTTAGGAGCTGGACTGGACTGCTGTGTAGATACTGGATCGATGAGGCGGCAGCAGCTGCCCAGAAAGAACTCGTGCCTCTCCCAGACCCCGCATGTGGTAGTGCGGCCTTCCATTCATCAACAGTCTCATTACTGTGTGTTGGGTGCTGTCCTGGGCACTGGGGATTCAGTAGTGAACAGAATCAGCAGAGATCCCGGCCTGAAGCAGCTGGCATTCTCTGGGGGAGACAGACACGATGGTATAAATAAATCGAATGTGTAGGGTATTGGATAAAAATTAGGGCAAAGAGGAAAAATCCATAGTGAGACTCCATCTCTAGAAAGGAAACATCCTGCGGGGAAGGGATACAGAATGTGCAGTGCGAGAGAGCTGGAATTTTAGAGAGACTGGTCAGGCAAAAGGTCACGCAGGAGAGACTGCTGGGAGTTAGGAGCAAGGAGCCCGTGTATGTCAGGGGGAAGGAGCTTAAGGCGCAGGAGCAGCCTCAGGCAGGAGCCCACGTGGCTGGAGTGGAGGGAGGGAGTGGACTGTGGGGGACCGGAGTGGGCTGTGAGGTCAAAGAGGTGACGGGGCAACCCTGCGTGGTGGGTCGCACGACTGACTTGATCTCCCCCTGCTGCACGCCTTGCTGGAGGCGGTGCAGAGGAGGGCCACGAGGGGTCTGACGCGGTTTTCACAGGATCCTCTTGGCTGCTGGGGGAGAGTGCACGGAAGGGGCAGGGCCAATGAGCAGCAGCTGAAGTCAAGCTTTGCAGGGCTTTGCAAGGCGTGATGGGGCTTGGATGGGTGTGAGTAGGGGTCCTTGAGAAAAGCAAACCAATAGTGAGGAGTTGGCTCACTCGATGACGGAGCCTGAGAAGTTCCACTAGCTACCTGACTGCGAGCCGGAGTCCCAGGGAATCTGGTGATGTGGCTCCACAGCGAGCCTGAGGACTGACACTCAGGAGCTGATGCTGGGGACCCAGTCCTGGGGCAGGAGAAGGCCAGTGTCCCAGGCAGGCAGGCAGGTGGGAAGAAAAAGAGGCAAGTTCCTCCTTCACCTGCCTTCTCGTTCTCTTCAAGCCTTCAGGGGGTTGCATGGTCCCACCCACGTGGGGCATCTATTGGCCACAGTCCACTGCAAACACCAGTCTCATCAGAGGCACCTCATGGAACCCCCCCCACCAGAAACAGCACCTCCCAGCTATTGGGTATCCTGGACCAGCCAGGTGGACACATAAACCTCACCTGTGCAGGTGGTAAGGAATGGTTGACTCTGCATCCAAGTTGGAGGATATGGGGTCTTCATTTGTGCCCGTTTCCTAGGTGGGCCTTGCGCCTATTCTCTGCCCTCCTTTCCCCCGCTCTGCCTGCAGCCACGCTCCTTGGTCCTGGACAGCCTCAGTAGGGAAGGTTCCAGAAGTGGCGGCTGCTCTGTGCCCACCACATCAGCCCCTGGGGTTCCTGGTCTCCTAAACCTGCATCCCGGCTCCTGGCCTGGCCGCCGGGAATGCTGCGAACGTTGGATCCTCAGAATCAAGATAAAAATGAAGAAAGCCTTCTGCCTCTGCCAGGCAGGCCGGGGACCAGGTTGGGGACCCTGGCTGGAGTCGAATACCTCCTCAGCTCAGGCCTTGGGTCTTTGGGGAACTTGGTGACTGGGCTCACATGCGCACTAGAAAAGCTTCACGTATGGATGAGAAGTGCCTGGAAACTTCGGACAGAGCGCGAGATTCTGCCCTCGTGTCAGGGAGGAATGCCGGAGGTGGAGGAGATTCTGAAGGGGCCAAGCCTCAGGGCTTCCAAGAGCCGAGTGGGTCCAGCCTCTGCCTCCCAACCTCTGCCCAAACTGCACTTTTTTCTGGTACCTTCCAGGGTGCTTGCAGGCTCATTCCTGTATGCAGAGCTCACTCTTTCATTCCCAAAACGATCACACCAAAGGGGAGTTTGAGATTAGAGCATCAGAGCCAAACTGAAGCCCGGAGGAGCTGAGTGAGCCCGGAGGAGCTGAGCCCAGAGGAGCTGAGCCTGGAGGAGGGGCCACGACCAGAGAGTGAGGAGCTGGTCGCCGGTTCCTGAGTCCCAGGCCAGTTCTCTGTCTCCAGCAAGAAGGGCCAAGCAAAGCCACATGAGGAGAAGAGAGGGGTCTGGGCTGTCCTCAAAGAGTGAGCATCCTCCCATGAGATTGGAAGACTGGGAAGGAAAGTCCGAGCGCCCTGAAAAAGGCTAGAGGGGGTGCCCAAAGGCAGAAGACGGTGTCCATGCAGTGTGGCCTGCCACGGCCAGCAGCTCCCAGCACGTGCTCCCAGTAGCTGGCCTGGCCTGGCGGATTGAGCCATGGTCAGTGGCAACTACTGAACCAGTGCCCTGGGCATCATCTGCCTGTTCGCTCTTGGATCTAACCAGCATTTCTCGTGACTATTCCGAAAAGACTCCAGTCGCTTCCTCCACCGCCTCTTCCAAGTTTGGGGTGGTGGTGGGGGGTTGGGGAAAAATCAATTCATCAAACAAGCAAAATGTATCCAGCGCCTTCTTACTGCAGACAGGGCACTGGGCAGGGCTTATTAAAGGGGATTGAAGCCCTCTGGACCCTGGAAACCTTATGGGAGAGATTAAAAAGACAGTCAAAGGCAAGACGCTTTACCTTCTGAAAGGTGCACCATGGAACACCAAGAAAAATCAGCCCGTCTTGTATGTGTATAATGAATCTGACCCTGACGAGCTCTCCAGGATGACCACCAGGCGGGACGCACCAAGAATCAGAGAAAGGGGGTGCCCTTTGACCTGAAGAAGCTGGCATTCTGGGGGAGACAGACAAGATGGGATCAATAAATATACAGGCAGATGCTCTGCCCTCAATTTCCGTGCGAAAGAAGTCGACTCTGGCACTGAGACCTCACGTCCATGTCTGTTGTGGTAACGTTTGATTTACACACCCTCCACCTGTTTCTTTTTATGGTCTTGGTAATTGCAAATTATTACTAGTTGTAAATATTTCAAACAATGTGGTAGAAAAGACAAAGTCCCTTCTCGTTCAGAAAAAGGGAGGCCTGCCCCGTCTCACCCCGGACCAGCAGGCCCCTGATGCCTGAGTGCTTCTGACTCTGGGCCAGCTCCTGGTGTGATGTGTTGTTGTAAACAATGTGAACAAACACCTAATCCACATCCTTTGTTGGTTGTGTTGCTATTCCTCAGAATTGATTTTCGGAAGTAAGATTTATGGGTAAATAAATCTTTGTTTATTTACCTTTGTGGAACGTTTGTGTGCT